GCATGTAGTGGTGATGTTACATGACACGTATGTCGTGATTATTTTTGGATGTGTCATTTACCTATTACTTCTGTTCGCGTCACATAATACGAGTTTGGTACTTGTGAAGCTAGCAAAATGGCCGCGAGCGCATCATGAGCTTGGCATGTAGTCATGTTGTTACATGAAACGCAAGTCATGATTTTCATGTTTGCACCAGTATCATACCATCGTCATCCATTCACATCCCGTAATACCGAATTTGCTATATGTAACGATAACAAAACGGCCGCGAGCGCATCATAAGCGTGGCAAGTAGTCTTGTTGTTACGTGACACGCATGTCATAATTTTCGCGTTAGGGTCGGCAGCTTGTTTTCGCCATGCTATCATGCCATGCCATACCAGTTTTGCAACATGCCATGTGAACGAAACCACCGCAATAGCTGCAGAACCATGAAATGTATATCATGATATTTGTGATATCCATGTAATGATTTTCATGCTATGGCTAGTCAAATATGTTCTTCATACAGTCATGATATGCCATACCAAGTTTGGTATCGATATCATTATCGAAACGGCCAGGAGAGCTAAAAGTCATAGGTGGCTAAATATATAGATAGATAGATAGATAGATAGATAGATAGATAGATAGATAGATAGATAGATAGATAGATAGATAGATAGATAGATAGATAGATAGATAGATAGATAGATAGATAGATAGATAGATAGATAGATACGCTCAGTCGCAAGAGTTCGCTAAAAAAAGCTTCGCATTTAAAAGCAATTATTGCGCATATCTGAGGCACCATAACAACACGTCGATGTTTCGCATGTGTGTCTTTATACTACAGAAGTCATCACGCTGCGCTGCCAGTGCTACGCGATGATCAAAAAGGCAAGTGTTTGCAACGCTTTGCTAAGATGACACGGTGCCCCGCCGCGGTGGCCTAGTGGCTAAGGTACTCGGCTGCTGACCCGCAGGTCGTGGGATCGAATCTCGGCTGCGGTGGCTGCATCTCCGACGGAGGCGGAAATGTTGTAGGCCCGTGTGCTCAGATTTAGGCGCACGTTAAAAAATCGCAGGTGGTCGAAATTTCCGGAGCACTTCACTACAGCGTCTGTCATAATCATATGATGGTTTTGGGACGTACCCCACATGTCAGTGTAAGACGACTCGGTGGTTGCACCTGCCCATCACTTCGCGTTCTACTCCTTATCGCCTCCGGGACAGGCGCGCATCTTTTTCAGCAGGCGCTCACGGCTTCTTTCGATTTCGAAGATAACTGCCAGATAGCGCTTGTGTCTAACATGTCTCGATGCGCTCGTTTGCCTTCGCTGCACGGATCGAGACTCTCTACGACAGTGCTTCCAGAATAAAATTCACCGATTTTCTGGCACAGAATATCAAATAGACGTTTCGTTCACTTTTTTCACACGCAAAACTATCGTCTTTCGACGACATTTACAGTAATACATGCAGATACGGGGCCATTTTTTTACCAAGCATCGACATGGCACAGTACACGGGCTCCTACCAACTCACCATCATCGAAATGCAACCACCGCGGCTGTGATCAAACCCGCGACCTTCCGGTGAGCAGCCGAGCAACGTCACCGCAACACCATCGTCGCGGATAGTGCAGCTGTCTTTCAAGAGCACTAGCAGTGCGTGCGTCTTCAGCATCTGAAAAACTCAGAAGTATAGGGGAGAATTCTCGCTTGAAAATATGAAGATGATTAATTCGTGAACACGGGGTTTCGTTGAAGCCAACGCTTCCACGAGCAGTCTTGTCTTCTTCAAGGCTCTTCCATATCACGCCAAATGACCCAGTATTTGCATCTTGATCCTCTCAGTTTCAGCTCTTAAAAGTTTAGACAGTCATTTCCGTGTCCTCTTTGTTCTCAAACAGTACATTTAAAACAGGCTGAACAAGTGGCTCGCTTTTTCAGACCATGACAAAGAACCAGTGCGCTCATGATACTTATGCTTGCTTGGTCCGCTTCCATGTGGAATTTTCCAGCTGGAATTGACTGATTTTGTGTGTACGTGTGTGTCCGTGTTTCGCTCTTATATAGTTTTTAACTCTCTCTCTCCCTTTCAACCTCCCATTCTCTAACTCCAGTGTCCGGTAGCATACCGCATACTAGCATCTGCATGGTTAACCACCCTGCCTTTTTTTTTCTCGTTTCTCTACTCCAATTGAAACTGCATTCCTTATCTCGTATATTTATATCCTTCGCCCACTCTTCTCGAGCCCGGGCAAAATTCCAAGAAAGCGCACCTTCTGAAAACGCGATAAGGATGGATAAGAGAGGCTGGTATGCGCGATCGGGTGAACGAAAAGAATAGAGGAGGAAGTAAAGAGCAAGGGATGTGGCGGTGGAGAGGGCATTCGCATCGAAAGGGTTGAAGACGAGGTATAAGGATGAATGGACGGATGAACTTTATTTGGGGTCTTGGGAGACGCGGTAGAAGTTTCGTTCAACACCAGCTGTCAAAAGTAAGCACCACCTGACAGATAAATTCATTTTGGTGAGCGCGGTTAGAAATTCCCCCAAGAAATGTAGACTTGAAGAAGATAAGGCCACTGTCGAAATGTTCGCTACAAGGACCCCACGGGACAACGAATTTCTATTTATTCTGCATACACAGGGCGGAACGTTGGGCACTAAGGAGAGAAAATTCTGAAAGGTGAAACCAATTCTCAACCGAGACACCACGATCACTTCATTAGATTGTGTACTTCGAGTGAAGAAATAAATCGAGACATGATAACGGAAGACGGTCAGGACGAAAGTTTCGACGAGTGAGTGATCAATTACTTTATCTGTCAGCCTGCAAAAATGTGTATGCTGGGTTATAAAAACCACATGTCCATGAGTCTGTGTTTACCGGCTGCCTGTTCATCTCATGCTATGGTTAGGAACAGGGTGCTTGGTCAAAGTTCACTAGAAGTTTTTTCCGCTCCGCAAGGTTTTTATGGAAGTGTTGCGCTGGCTCAACGCACGTGTTAATCCCAGTGTACGTGCATATAAGTAAGGCTCTTACGAAAAATACGCAGCACAGGAGAAAAAATGAGCATCGGACATGTTGCAAGCAGATCTGGAGATAATGTAGCGTCTCTGCTGTCGTCTTCAAGGAGGATGTTCTCATTGTTTTAGGATGTCATATGTGAAATCAAGAAAATTAGGTTGCTCTGATTGATGCTTTAACACTGATGATTCATCACAAGAGGAAGGGGTACTGATTGAAGAACTCCATTGCCTTGAGAATATTTCCTTCGCTTGGCATAATTTCTGCCATGTATATAATGGTCAGCAATGTCCAAGAAAAAATACTAGGTATGTTCTACTTGAAAAATGAGCTCTGCATTTGCATGTTATTCTGCAAATGTCGTCGAAGGTCTTGCGTGTGGACAGAGTGAGCAAAACATTTATTTGATGTTCTGCGCAAGAAAATCGGTGAATGGTATTCTGGAGGCGCTGCGTTAGAGCGGAATCGAACGAGCGCATCAAATCACGTCGCACGTGAGACATGAGTGCCATCTGGCAGTTTTCTTGGAAAACGAAGAGCGTGGCTCTGAGACGGGTGTGCGAGCCCGTCTGAGAGGTGATAAGGTGTAGAACGCAAAGTGACGGGTACGTGCCACCACCGTCTCGTCGTAGCAAACCATCGGAAACACTCGCCTTTTCGTGCAAGTGTTGCATCAGCACAGCGTGATAAGAGCTACGGTCTTGAAAATTTTTTATGTATGTCTTTTCTAGTAAAAGACGAACATGCAGAATATATACGTGTTGTTATGGTGCCCCAGACAAGCGCAATAATGGTTTTTAATTGACAATTGCGCAAGTATGAACGCTAAATCTTGTGCAACATCGGTGGCTGCTGCGGATGGGGTCTGCCGTTTCATGTACCTGGTGTCGTTAAGAGTAGACAAACAGACAAATTGTCAGGCAGACATACAGACAGGTAGACCAAAATTTTGCGGTGAAGGTCTCCAAGAAAGACTATCGTATTTAAAACATCCAGGAGAAAACGGAAACAATGTGAGACACCAGCTTGAGCTGAGTTGGGTAACGCAGCATGCCTGGCATCGCAAGCTCGGAACCTACTGTGCGATGCTGCCGAGAATTTTCTAAGAATCGAAAAACAGGTTCATTCTAGCTTGTTGAAATGTTCATGGGACGAGCAGAAGGATTATTTCACGGAAATATACAGGTGTAAAAATGAAATTTGGCGTGATCAGTGTAGCTAAATATTTCTTCAAGCAATCATGGTAATGCACTGATAAGAACACAAAATTGCCCTTGTGTTTTCCTCATGTGGACGTGGCCCTGTACGTTTTATTACTTCATATTTTGATATTGTCTGCAAATAATGGCGATAGGCTTACAATATATATTTGCGTATGTAAAGAAAATACAATTCCTTATTGTTCCAAAACTGTACATTGGTCATACAAGGAGATGTACTGACCTAATCGAGGAGGCCATTTTGTTGCACAACCAACGAGGTGCAAGTATGCGCTCGTTATCACGATTTTTTTGCATGCACAAGTGTGGCCGAAGCTGCGCATCTTGCTAGAAAAATGACACGTGTTAGCTTAATGCAAATACTTTCCTAAGTGTATATTACATTTTATTAGGAGAACGAGGTGGCACTTGGGCAGTCAATAATTTACTTACCCAGCTTGACTGTCCTTCCATGCCCGTTGGGATAATATGAATTGAAGGGTGACATCATGCTCCATTAAAGAAAAAGCAATCGGCAGCAGTCTCAACTGGACCATAAGATTGATTGATAGGTGGCGTTTATCCAAAACCACCATATAGGCATGAGATACGTCGCAGGGGAGTGCTCCGGAAATTTCGACCACCTGGAGCTCTTTACCGTGGACCCATATCTGAGCACATAGGCGTATAGCATTTTCGCCTCCATAACGGGCGTATAAGTAATGACTTCCTAGTAACAATGATTGTGACTTAGTCATTGGTGAGACAAATACGCTGAGATATGCGTGGCAAATAAATTATTTAATAGAGCTAATTGTAATAAAACTACGTGTAGTTCCTAACGGCTCTTGGCACGACCGAGGGTGTAGGTGAGGGGAGCGCGGAAGGCGACTGGGCGGGCAGCCACGGTGACTGGGGTCACGTGGTGGACGGCGACTGGGGCGGCGTTGAAGGTGAAGGTTGGGGCAGGATGCACGGCATGCACAGCGACTGGAGCAGCGTGGACGGCGTGAACCACTGGGGTGGCCTTAACGGCATGCACAGCGACCGGGGCAGTGTGGACGGCGTGCACCACTGGGGTTGCCTTCACGGCCTGCACAGCGACCGGGGCAGCGTGGAAGGCGTGCACCACTGGGGTGGCCTTCACGGCCTGCACCACCGGGGAGGCCTTTACGGCGACTGGAGCTGGGGCAACCTCGGCGGCGTTAGAGACGTATTGGGCGGCAGCTGGGTTGGAGCTCGTAGTTCCTGGCTCGTTGGTCTCGACCACAACGTGGAAACCGTCGGCGTCAGCGGTGTATTTGACGGTGCGGGAGATGCCTTGGGCATCGGTGTAGCTGTAGGAGCCAACTTTGTTGTTGTTCTCGTCACCCGTCTCAGTGTGGCTGATGCGAGTACCGAACTCGTCGGTGTTGTCATAGCTGAAGCTGTATGGCTGTGGTGGCTGCAATGCGACCAAATGACGTTCATAAGTATTGCTTTATTGTATAGAACGAGTGCTGACTCTAAAGGAACAATAAAATTATGGAAAGGAATTCATGTTTGCAATATCGCCATGCCACCGCGTCTAAGAAAGCACTGAACAACGACGAGTATGTCCTAGTTATTGTTAAAATATAACTATTGACCATTACTAGCAACATATTTTCCCGTACTCGACATGACGTCAGACATTTTGGCACATGAAAACAACTCGAATTGCGATGTACATAACCCAGTGATTATTTTTCGACCAACCAAGAACATCACAAACAATATTTGATATTTCAGGCGTATAGACTTTGACGTGAGCAGTCGCCACACGATGTGCATTTGTTTTTCTTATCAGGTTTTCATACTTCAGCTCCCTATTTATTCATTTTATGGGATTGGCTCGCGCATGTAGTTAGAATAGCTTGGGTTTTATGTGCCTAAATTATAACTTGGTGGTAAGACACGCCACAGTGGATGTCTCGGGTAAATTTTACCAAATGGTGTTCTGTAACAAGCACTAACATCGCATTTTACGCGGGGTTCCCGCTATAACTCATAACCTTCGGTTCAGCAGTCGAGTTTTGTATCCACGGTGAACTGGCTAAAGATTGTTCATACAGAGCAAGTGTAATATACAGTTGCTGCATGGTTGTCTCAAGGCTTTTCTGATTATGAGCACAAATCTCACGCTCAGTTGAGTTAAATAAGTGTAACATTACCTGTTTATAACAACAACGGAGTTTTAAAAAGTGGGGCACAAATAAATTTACAAGTGGCATATAGTGCCAGTTCTTGAAGGACTTGGAATTGACCAAACTATTATTTCAGATTTTGCAGTTAAAGTAATGGGAAATGTCGTACGCCATCCAGGCTTGGCTGCTGGGCAGCAGAGAGGGCAAGGACGCAGCACAGAAGAACCTGCAGCATAAAAAATTGGAACAGTGGTGAAAAATTGTTCAGTGTATAGAAGACTGATGATGTCGCTACTGTAGCACGGATAATTGAGCTAGTTAGTATTGGTTCATCTTTTAACAGAATAAGGGCACGTACACAGACACGGGCACTAGAACAGGAAAATGCACACAATATAAGCGGCTCTCTTGTTCAAGTGTCTTATAAGGACGGAGTGCTAATAAGGGCGCAGTCCTTATTGAGTTAATAGATGAACTGATAATGTCGTCTGCTTTTTCAAAACGGCCATCCTTCGTTCTAGTGCAATCCGAAAACAGGGATACGAAATGAGGTACGTGCCTTGGAGAACATCTTGACGGCAGGCTCCCGCTCCTTTTTGATAAATAAGGCTGAGAATTTTTCCTCCTAGCTCTTATATACTTTTCGGTCTTCAAGACTCGCGCGCTACCTGGTCTTCATTGACGCAAGATGCCAGCGGCCTCCTCCAATGACAGTAGAGAGCGTCGACATTCCTCGCACACGTTCACAGTACAGGCACTGTCGATAGTCCCAGGACAGTGAGTGCTGTGGGAAAGGGCGTCTTCGGGCTTGCGGTCAGTTGGGTATGGGCGCGACCACCCTCTCCAGAGGAGCATAGCGGCCGTTACAGTTGCTCAGCATAGCCTATTTTTTTTTATTTCTCGACACGTAGCGCACATCTTGACCTTGATCGGGTGGAAATAAAAGCCTGTATATGGTAAACGCTATAGTGGAACTCTCTCTCTCTGTTTCGTGAAAGAATTCGCAATGCGAGCGGCCTTTTAGAAAATTTTACTTCGTCGAATGTCACAGGCAAACTTGTTTCAATCTTGAGTTTTTATGCGCATTCATAGTCTTACTCGGTTTAACTTAAGCAAGGCGGGAGTCGCTTCCAACTTGAGCTTCCCAATTGATGGGTGTGAGTTGCCCCCCAAAAACATTTCCTGGCCTGACATCATGGTGTTCGTGGAGCTGAAAGTACCCTGATTTTTTTTCTGTCCCTTTCTTCTTAAAGTAGCCCGAAGCAAAATAGATTGGCAGATATCAACAGGTCGTTTCTCCTCTTGGTAGCATACGTGAACCTCGTGACCTATTTGACCGCACCAGTGCGTGACTCGGTTCCTTTAACTGCCCGTAAATAGTCCTGCGTGCAAAGAGCCTGGGCGGGAAAAACGAAGTTATGCCATCGAGCTTTAGCCTTGACGCTATAGAACAAAAAGTCGAACGGACACCCAGTGCAGCAAGCAGTGGCTTTTGCATCACTGAAAACCTAGGAAATACTAGACAGTCCTGCGTTATTCGGCGCAGTTAATCTTGCGTTGCCTCGTAGACGAGCAGCAGGCCTATAAAGAGTTCCTGCACAGAGTTGCTTTTGACTCTGGGAAACAGCCTTGCGCAGAGCTCAAAACATTGTCAAAACTCAAGCGAAATTTACGCTTTGCGTCAGCAATCAAATCAACCCTTTTTTTATTTTGGTATACCTCTGTCTATTGAACTTTGCGACTGCTTTAGGGGGGTAAAAAATAAACAAACAAGCTGGAGCATAGGGGGGGGGGCAGCAGCAACTATTAGGAAGTGGTTAGCGAGGTTTTTAAAAACAAGTTTTGTGTTTTTTGCCCCATTACTTGTATGCAATTTTGCTTGGAATGCGTCAGTTTATTCAGCGAAGTATCGATTACGTTCGTTGCGTAGGAGTTCTTTCGAACGCAGAGAGCATCCAAGGCTCATCCGCGGGTTCTCGGCTATGATAAATTGAGAGTATTTTGTCGTGTTCAGCGAGATCTTAGGGCACGCTTCAGGAATCGAGTGGCGACGAATTAGCAGTGATGAAGCCAACAATTTTAGTGTTGTCCTCGCCGTGTCTACGTGTGGTACCGTCTGGCGGCCTAGCGATGGCTTCACTTGCTTTGTTTTGCTTGGTTCGTGCAGCGCGTTCGTGTGAATCCGGCGTTTTCCTTGTGCAGCCTTGTCCCGCTTCGGGTGATTTGTCGTGGAGTCGTGACCACGGATGTGATTATCTGAAACTACGGTCATCGCGATGAAGTGACACGCACGTAGCGATCATATGTCTTACCAGCCTGCGTGGCCCAAGCGTGTGTCCCAGCTGCTTCGTTGCTGCTCGATCTGGCGTCGATTGCAGAATCACTGCTCAGAAGAAAATTGAACAGAAAATGGCTCACCATGCAGCGAATCAGAACGATTGCGTATTTCCCTAGGTTTTCATCGTCACTTGGGGACGCTGATGATGGCCGCGACGACAATGGGGGTTGCGAAGGTATGCTCATGCACGTGCTCGCCGAGCATGTCAAATATCCACTCAAACTCGCGTCACCATTTTGTGTTGCCACGTGATCATATGGGAGAGGACCGCGAGAGGTGATCACGTGGCAGCGCTGTCATGGCTGTAAATGGGTGGGCTTAGCACCCGTTTATATTGGGGTTCAATTGTGGTCATACTAGTTTATGTCAAATATATTAATTCAGCCCTGTGTAGCAATGTTAGTCCCGCATTGATAACTACGCTTTGACGAGAAAAACGCGATATGCATCACGTGGATGTCACTGATCTTTGAATATTTATATGATGAGAAAATATCTGCAATGTGTTCACTTACGCCAGTCTAAGAAGGTCGTTTTGTGCAACATCATCGCAATGAAAACATTATTATGGCTTTCTATTTATTATGTTGCAGTACCCATTAAAATTTAAAATTTCCTTATTCACAGTCTTCCAAAGAGAGTTCTTTTAGACAACGAATCATTCATACTTTCTAGCAAATTACACAATGTTACAATTTTAAATAAAGTGAGTCTTAACCACTGTTTCTCAAATAACGACTTTCATATCAATAAGAGCAACGCTATAACTTTGGCCTTTTCATAGAAGCCTAGAAACACATTTATAAGAACATACTTAATTTAATACCATAACACAGTACTCTAATATGATAGTTGTCATTTCGGGTCGCTCGTAGCTTTCCTGAAATGATTAAGGGATGAATCGTTACCTGTTGAAAAATTGCTATTGGCTACCTGAAACATACAGTCTAGACATCTTACCGAATATTCACGGGTGGCGTAGGCTAATAAATATTTATCTTAGAGTCACTAAACCAGAAATAGAGACACTTAGTCCACACAGGGTCATTCGATAGCAAAAGTATTTAAAGAACGTCATGCAAGTCATTCGCATTGGTTACTTGTGTGCGCACTTTAGTCAGCTCTCACAATCGCAGCAGCAAGATGTCTCGACTGCAGGTTTCAGGTAGCAGGCTGCGTCCATTTCAAAACGCCAGGTTTATTTGCTCACATGTGCAAAATATTATCCTTTACGCTAAGCTTACTAGCACGACGTGTTAAATTTAGTTTCAGTTTCGGACTGTACGGACGGTTGTGGTCGTGCTTCACTGGTGCCTAAAGATACTTTAGAGCCAACTATTATGTCGACGTTGATTGTTGAAATGGTGGTCCAGAAACGTTCTAGAGTTACTTTTGTGCCAAAGAAGTGCTTATTTTGAAACCAGATGACATTTTAGTGGTCCGCATCGATTTAGCCCACTTCAAATTACCCGCCACACTGGAACGTATCACATCACTGTTGCCGTGTGCAACGTTGCCCGGCTTTACTGCGTGACCGCCGACACTAGTGGAAGCAGAACGAAAGCAGCGGTAGCGACAGCTAAGCTTACTAGCACGACGTGTTAAATTTAGTTTCAGTTTCGGACTGTACGGACGGTTGTGGTCGTGCTTCACTGGTGCCTAAAGATACTTTAGAGCCAACTATTATGTCGACGTTGATTGTTGAAATGGCGGTCCAGAAACGTTCAAGAGTTACTTTTGTGCCAAAGAAGTGCTTATTTTGAAACCAGATGACATTTTAGTGGTCCGCATCGATTTAGCCCACTTCAAATTACCCGCCCAACTGGAACGTATCACATCACTGTTGCCGTGTGCAACGTTGCCCGGCTTTACTGCGTGACCGCCGACACTAGTGGAAGCAGAACGAAAGCAGCGGTAGCGACAGCAGCAACAACTGCAATTCAACAATTTCCAGCTATTCGTTCAGAGATGGCAGACGTTATTTGTTTAGCTGGGCCCCGCTAGATGACATGACCTGTTCAATTTAACCATGCGAAAATTCAACCTTTGAACCACTCACGTCATTCCCCATAGTTACATCCGGTGGTTCTTTTTTCCATGAATCAAACAGAAACAAACAAGCAGCGTTTCGTTACGTCTCTTGATGCACGGAAGCTTCCTTATTTAATGCCGCTAGTTTAATTACTAGTCATTAATTGTAGGTGGTTTGTCTGACGTCATTGAGATCATTTTTAGAATGTCATACTGCGGCGCATGTATTCTTGTGCATTTACTTTAATTTATCGGCAAGCTGGGCATATGCTGTTGATAACATTGTCTTTTTAGACGATGCCATAGATTGAGCTTTCACTCTGTAAATTGTTATGTGACTTTAGTCTCCCTTCAGTCATTCCAGGCTAGCTCTGTATCATATGGCTAAACGCAAGTTCTGTACGAGCTCTTGAGAAATTGATTTGTATCTTATGTCAATATACAAACACGCCTGTAATTTCCTCGACTATAGAAAGTTCATAACTTTGAAAACCACCACACCGATATAGAACGTACTAAATTCATCTCAATGTTCTTATTGTTTTATGTGAAATTGGTACCTGCGATGGCTGCACGTGCACTTTAATGATACGTGCGTGATAATTTGCCAAGACAAATTTGTTATTCTTAGAAAAATTACTGATGGCGTTACTTGGTGCACAATATGCGCCTTTTAAGGTCTGTATTTATGTTTTAGACAACATTTTATCAATCTGAACCAATTGATCGTTCCTCATGATGTCTTTTTAAAATGAATCGATACGCAAGTCACCTTCTACTTCTTTGTTTTCATCGCTGTGAGTTGTATTGATGCGAGATGTAATCCTACGCTTCTTTCGAGCAATATTACACGTCCGCTCACAGAGATCTTTGGCCCACATGATGGCTGTACACGCTTAGTCTCTTTCACGAAGCAGTTTCAAGCCCTGTTGTGGTTTTGTCATAGAGGTAGAGACTACGACGTAGAATGAATGCCTTCGATTGCAACTAGCGTCCGTGTTCGTTTTCGTTACTTTCATCGAGACTTTTCACTCGTGGATAAATCCCCCTGGGCAGCATTTTCTGCGACACGGTATCTTTGAAGCTATCGTATTAACACGGGGAGTAATAAACGCAAGAACAGCCGGGCTACAAGACGTCGACCACATATAGTTTCATGTGCGTGTGTGTGTGTGTGTGTGCGCGCGCGCGCGTGTGTGTGTGTGTATGTGTGTGTGTGT